ATTTTATTTTATTTTTAAAAAGAGGATTGATGTTTGCTCTGAAATGTTGATTAGGTTTTAGTTCTCAGAACTCGCACAATAACGGCTCTTAAAACTATAGCACTCTTTCCCATTGGTTTAACAATTAATAATTTTATCCATGAAATGTTTGATAAAACATGCTTCTTTTTACGCATGAAGCTACAGGTTTTGTAAATACTGAAAGTTCTATTAACTACAACTATGTCTTCTTTCCAAAATACCTTATTCAGCCTTCAATAATTTTTCAGAACAGTATTTTCCTATTGTTGAAGACAATAGAACAAATTATGTCATTTTTCTTAATACACAGTTGGAGAATTTGATGCTGGACAAAGATGGACACATAAAAATTACAGATTTTGGGCTTTGCAAAGAAGGGATCACAGATGCTGCCACCATGAAGACATTCTGTGGTACACCCGAGTATCTGGCACCAGAGGTATGCTTCAGTTCCATCCACAGGAGCAGTAACATTGACATAATGCTTTGCAAAGTAAACCATCTGAGCATTGTTAGCAACTGCAATACCTGCTACTTTTACCTTGATTTCAACCTGAATCAAATGTATTTTGCTCTTACTTGTTTAATGTGGTATAATAGGGACAAGATTATATAGAAATTAAATTTTATGAACTTTATAAGCATAAAGGCACTAACTGAAGTACATTAAATCAATTTTTATTTCTTGGCCATATATATTTTCTTTCTTGGTTATGCCCATTTTGATTAATTTATTAAAACAGAGTAATTGACTTTAGCATGAATGTTTACAGTTTTTTAAACGATCTTGGGCCTTCCTTAGAAACAAAAAAACAGTGCTTAAAGGATTATTGTAGTATTTTGAGTTTTTATATTTAATTGTGGAAATTATTTTATTGGAAAAGTTAATGAAACAACACTAGCTACATTTTAGAATTCACGTCAAAGGAAGCTTCCACACGGTGACCTCCCTGTGCTAAGGGTTGCACAGTAATTCAGTAATTTGTTTACTTAACAAATATTTATTGTGTTTCTACTATATTTCGGATATTTTTCTGGGTGATTTGGTTACAGGACTAAGAAAATGACCCTCATCTCAGAGAACTTACTTCTATTGAATAAAAATAAATAAAAAACATAATATCTTAAGTGGCATGAAGGGGGAAAAAAA